ATGGTTGAAGTCTTTGCTCCCAGCAAGCCAAGAATCACTGTTGTGTAAAATAGCCAAGCAGGATGTGCCCTTGCAGTCTAGCTAATCCACTGCCTTCAATAAGAAAATCAAGGCCCAGAGAGGGGGAGTGATTTGTCCAAGGTCACACAGCAAGCCACTGGCAGAACAGAGGCTGGAACTCAGGCTCTTGCCTCCCATCCTGGCACTTCTGTACCCAAGTCTTTGCATAGTGGCTACTTAGACTGGCCTTCGGGTCCTCACATGCGAGGCCCAGCGAGGCTGGAATGCTGCAGCGCAAGGAGGCCTCTTCGAAGTGGAGTGGGGCCAATTCAACAAGCGGTTGGAGGGGTCTAGAACTATCCCCACCCACCTGGAAAGCGATTCCTTTTACAGCCACTTCCTGAGCTTGGACTGCCACGTGTGGCAGCCAAGATGCCACTAAACACCCTGCCACCCAGGATATGGGGTGACATATTTGTCCCTTGTCACTTCCGGCTGTCCCATACTTCCCTCCTCAAGGAACACTCACAGACAGGCTGTCCTAAGGAGGGATTCTTCAATCCAGGGACAGCTCACTGAGTCCCACAGTCCTCAGGAGACTTTAGAACTCAGAAGTCTGTTAGAAGCCTTCAGCCAAGTGGAGTCTCCCGTACCTCCCCCTCCCTGGTCCCCACCCCCCTCCACACACACACCCACACTCATGCCCACTGGTCTTCCCTCAGGCCTGTGGCTCTGATGCCGCATGGTAAGAGACATAAAGATTAGTTTCTGTAAAGTCGGGCCTGTCCCCAGTCTTCTCCCAACCGGTGGTCAGCGATAGCCCAGTAGAGCACAGGGGCCACCCCCGCCCACTGCCCAGCCTGGGCTTTCTGCAGCAGTCTTTAATAACAACATCTCAGAATACCAAAGAGGCTCCCAGGTCATGCAAACCCCAGAAGCCAGGGCCAGGGGACTGAGGAATTATGTAATCGAGACAGTGTGGTACTATTGCAAGGATGGACCAATACACCAATGGAAGAGAACAGAGCTTCCAGAAAAGATCCTCAGGTGACTGATGACAAAGATGCCAGACCCAAAAGACTACACTGTGGGATTCCACTTCTATGGAGTTCAGTAGTGAGCGGAAGTGACGTCCTGCAACAGTCAAAAAGGCAAGTTTAGTGAGGGTGGGGAAGCCTGCCAGAGGGTTCGAGAGGATTCACATCTTTATCGGGCTGGGGATTACATAGTAGATCCATGTGAAAATGGTGAAGTACGCCATCAGGATCTGGGCGCTCCCCTCTCCAGGTCTCCAATTCTTCACCTGCAAAGAGAGGCACGAAGCCCTCCCTCCTAAGCTTGTAGTGGAGAAGGCGTCTGGCACACAGCTGGGCCGGTGGGAAACACTAACCATATAAAGAGGTAAAGGAGGAAAGGACAGGATCCAACGCCAGTAATAATCATGAAAACAACAATAATCGACTAACTCCCAGTCTGGAGCGCCAACCACACCCCACACGCTGCTCGTCTACTCCTCCCTCTAAAAGGGGAACAGCATCGTGTGAAATGGAAAAAACCATGTCTGACAGGAGTGCAAGGGAGAAGGGTTGCATTCAGTTAGCACTCGCGTGGTGGGCCGAGCTGCTCGGTCAGCACTGCTCCCCTTCTTCAGGGAATTATTGATGTGGCCATCACTTAGGAGTTGGGGGCGGGTGGGCTGGTTCCACGGCAGCCAGAGTCGGATCCCAATCCCCGGGAGGGGATGGAGAAGGTGGAGAAGCAAGGAGCCTCCGGCAGACCTGTGTTCAAAAGCTGAGCTCTGCCCCCGCTAGCTGTGTGAGGTTGGGCAAGTGGTTCAATCTCTCTGAGCTTTAGCTTTCTCACCCAGTCATGGGCTTATGGTCTCTCATCTCACCCTCGAGCTGTAAGGAATAGAGATTATGTTCGCCTTGTGCCTGGCACAGATTAGTCGCTTGTAATTATTATTATTGCTGTTATTGTTTTCCCCAAATCACTCTGATATCAGCCTGCCCCACCCTGCATGATCACAGAAAACAAAAAACCAGCACTCTGCCCCAGGCCTGCCTCCCAGAGGCTAACCCAGGGTGTGAGGCTGGCTGCTGTATTCTCCCCTAACTCATAGGATGTCCACTGAAAATCTGCTCTACCCAGAACGCAGGCCTCATGCGCCAGGGCGTTTAAAGAGGGCCAGATGAATGGGGTTCTCGGAGGGCAGCACCCTGCCCAGCTCCCGCAGACCTCCTCTGTCCCGGCTGCCCCTTGTCCCAGGCACCTCGTTCAGCCGTGAGAAGCAACTAGAGCAGAACACATCTCTGTTTGCACTTGTCTTTGAAAAATCAAAGCTGCTTCTGATAAAACACCACTCTCTGCCCTGGACTCACTGTATCCAAAGAGATTAATGGATTTGGGGGCGCTGCCGAAATGAAAATCCCACCACAGCAGCAGTAAGTAAATGTCAGGAAGCTGGTGGGGGAGGGGACGGTATGAGACCTCTGGTGTCTTTCCTGAGCCACCGGCAGAGAGACCCTGCTCCCATTAAGGTTGTTCAGGAAAAGCTGAAGGGGATCCCCCTCCCCCCCGCCATAGCCCACTGGAGCCAAAGACTCTATACCCAAGGGTCCCAGCGGGCAGAGGATCCCTGGACAGATGTCTAGGGACACACACCACCCCAACCACCACTGGGGGAGATGGGCAGGCAGGTCTCTCCCTCCCTCTTGTGCAGGAGCTCAACCCTAACACCCTCCCAGGCTCATCGCAGAAGGCAACAGTGAGGAGCAGAATCAGAAGCCCCAAGTTGTGGTACTGGCCCAGTGACCTCGGGAAAGACCTCTGCTCTCCCTCAGAGTGTCCTGCCAACTGGAAAGTGGAAAGTTGAACTAAAACAGTCCTTCTCTTGTCCTTTCCCAATTCCCAAAGGGAGGCCTCTTCAAGAAAAGCCACAGAGGCGGGGCGCCTGGGTGGCTCAGTGGGTTAAAACATCTGCCTTCGGCTCAGGTCATGATCCCAGGGTCCTGGGATCGAGCCCCACATCGGGTTCTCTGCTCAGCAGGGAGCCTGCTTCCCCCTCTCTCTCTGCCCACCTCTCTGCCTACTTGTGATCTCTGTCAAATAAATAAATAAAATCATAAAAAAAAAAAAAGAAAAGAAGAAAAGAAAAGCCCCAGAGGCAACTCTGGTGATGGGGTGGGGTGGGGGGTGGCGCGGCCTGGTGCCTGTCCGGCTTCCCCATTCTGCACACACATACCCCCCCCAAGGCCCTCAAGGGTTCCAGGAGCATCATTCCCTGAGTTTCCAGGAGGCCAAGGCCAGCTGTGGCTGAGCACTTCCCAGGCAGGTCCCCAGCGGCAGTGCCCTACGCTCCTTTTACAAACTAAGAAACAGTGGACTCAGGGGCCTGGGTTTCAATCCCAGCTCTACTAGCTGTGTGACCTTGGATGAGTTACCTTCCCTCTCTGAATCTCTGATTCCTCATCAGAAGAATGAAGACAATGAGACCTGCCTCCCAAGTTTCTTATGGAAAAAAGCACCTGGTACAGCAAGTTAGGCATTCAATAAACATTTATGGCAAAAGGAGGCAAAAGAGGAAGCAGGAAAGGACAGAGCCCGAGGATGAGAACAAAAACAACAACAATCTTGCTACCATATGGAGCATGAAGTACCTGCTAGGCACGGCACTCAGCACTCATGTGGCCCTCACAACCTTCTTAGAAGGAGGTCATTGTCCCCATTGGCAGAGGTCACACAGGCACTCAGAGGCCTGAGCTCCCAGTGTGCACCCTCTCCTACATTCCACTGGCTCATCTGCTGAGCCAAGGTGGAGCTTCCTCCTCCGGCCCATCCCACCACTGGGACCACAGGCTCATCTTCATATGTTGCCTGGGGTGGGAGGAAGCAAGAGCATTCACTTCTCTTCATTGCTTCCTCTCGCCTACCCAGAGCAGTGGATCATGTCACCGCACGCCTCGACACCCTTCATGACTCCCCAGTACCTTTGGGGTCCTGCCCAACGTCTTCACTACCTGCCCCCACCCTATTTTTCCACACTCCCCTGGAAACCCTGCCAAGCTTCCCCATTCCCTTCCCCTTCCTCACGGTGCCATCGCTGCCCCCCAACTCCTCCACCCTGGCAACACACACCCAGCAAACCCCCACTCGTCCTGCTGCAGAAGCCGACCTGCAGCAGAAGCAAAGCACCACCATCAGTGGCTCCCTGGAGTCTCGCTCACACCCCTCCTGCCACCCACAGGGGCTCTTAAGGATTTAGCTGTGGGTCTAACAGCAACACTAGGTGGGGAGTTCCTTAAAGAAGGGAATGACATCTGACTTCCTCCAAAGCCCCCTACCTAGGCTCAGAGGAGGGACTTTAAAAATGGTGGGTGTGGCTGAAAAAGTACAACTCCATTCCCACCTGTGGCCCCTACGGCAACCAAGAAGATGAAAATGGGGTACAGGCCGCCCCACACCGGCCGGCTTTCTTTCCCTGAGCCCAGTAGAGTGGGAGGCAGGAGACAGAAGCCTCGCTTTTCTTGTAGCTCTCTGAAGTAGAAGCAGTTGGCCCCTGCTGGCCTGACCCCCTTGAGGTCTGGGGAGCAGCAGGGAGAGGGGAGGGCAGGAGGAAGGGGGAGGTTGTGCCCAAGCCCCATAGGGACAGAAGCAGTAAGTCCTATGGATTTCACACCACTGTTCTCTGGGGCTGCTCAGCTCTGTGGGGTTCGGACAAGTGGACCGATGGCAGTCACTTGTTGGGGCACGACGGGCAAGAAGGGGCTCAGCATGGGCTTGCCCCCCACTGGGCATGGCCAGCCCCAGCTTTAGAAGACAGGGCAGAGGGCTGTCCTAGACGCCCCAGAAGGATGCTTTGTACTCAGGAACACTGGAATTCTTCAGCCCACAGACTCCATTTCAAGGCAGTGAGACCTCACAGGGACACGCCTGCCCTCGGTGGGTGGCCCCGACCAAGCCCGTGTCCCTGCACAGCCGCCGTGAGCACTCAAGCTCACCTCATTGACATCAATCTTGTTCCTCTCCATGTAGTCTCTGTCGTTGACCTGGCCGCCATCCACAAACTCCATCAGAAGGACCCGCTTGGTGGACAGCTCCCAGTAGATGCGGGGGACCTGAAAGAGGCAGGGGCAGGTCAGAAGGGCTGGCGGGCCAGATGCTCCAGACAAAGCCTGAGAGGGACCGAGCAGTGACGGGGGCGGGGGGGGGGGGGGGGGCAGGGGCAGGCTGGGCCATGCTGCCTCCTCCGCCAGCCAGGCCCCCAGGCCCTCCTTCAGAGACCCCTTCCTGCTCAGGGAACAGAGAACAGCTTCCCCACCCTTCTCAATGCCTCTAGACACCAGCAAGAGCCAAAACTAAAATTGGTACTTAGGGGGACAGGTGTGGAACCTGCCAGATCTGAGTCCGAGTTGGCACTGAAATCTATTTCCCTCTTGCACCAGGCCCACTGCAGGCTCCTCATGTGAATCTCAACCCTCGGCCTCCATTTCTACACTGGTGCAACGGATGTATTCCATGTCTATGTCTTCGAATGAACAAACGAACAAATGAACGAATTTTTATGGGGTGATAAATTGTTCAGTCAGGAAGTCCTGGGTTTTCTCATGTGCGTTTCCTACAAGTCCTCTGCGGCAATGCTGGATCCTAACCCGGAAGCTCTTTCTAGTCCTCTTCCCCAGAGACAGGAAAAACTACATACTTTCCCTGCCCACCTTCCCTTAGGGATGGTCACATGACACAGTGCTGGCTTATGAGACGTATGTGGAGGACTGCTAGGGCTTTTTTTTTTTTCTTCATAAAAAGGGATGTTTAGAGGGACATGTGGGTGGCTCAGTGGGTTGAGTGTCTGCCTTGGGCTCAGGTTTGATATCAGGGCCCTGGGATCAATCCCCGAATTCAGCTCCCTATTCAGCACAGAGTCTGCTTCTCCCTCTCCCCTCTGCCCCTCCCCACTGCCCATATGTGCTCTCTCCCTCTTCGATAAATAAGTGGGGTCTTAAAAAGGGGGGGGGATGTTTGTAAATGGCACAACTCTTCTTACCCTTCTTTCCTACCTTGAAAGTGAATATGATTCCTGGAGCTGCAGCAGCTATCTTGCCACTGTGAGGAAACGTCCAAGAAAATCAGAGATGCCAGCCCTGATACCATCACACCACTAACACAGTATCAGCAGGCAATTGCTGTAAGCCGTCTTGCCATGTGAGGAAAATTAGTCTTTTTTTGTTTAAGACACTCTAAATTGGGCTGTTGGTTACCTGCAGACAAATGCATTCCTAATTGATATGCTCTCCAACCCCCTCTGACTCTAAGAACACCCAATGGCAAAAAAGAGAACAGATTTCCCCCACGAAGAGGCAAGAGATGGGACTGCACCAAGGGCTACTGGGCTGCCATATGAGTGAGTGACACCCCAAAATGCCACCACTGCCAGGAGGGAGGAATGACTGGGATATCCCCATGCCACGTGTCCCCAACAACTTGTGATGGGCTTATTTCCACTTACAAATAAAACAAAACAGAAGAAAGAGAGAGAAAAAAAGAAAGAAAAAGAAAGGAAGAAACGGAGGTAGGGAGGGAAAGAAACCAAGGACAGTTAATTCAAGGGTTTGGGGGAATAAAGACTTCCCTTATGTTGATCCCCAAAATTCACCTAGCATTAAGACCGCAGCCTTCAAATCAAGAAACCCATTTTCCTTCCTCCTTCTGCGAATACTGCCATGTCTTGATCCAGCCACTTAACCTGCAGTGCCTCCGTTTTCCTCATCACAGAGGACTGGTCCTGCCCCATTTCAAGAAGGAGCTCGGAGGATGCTTGGGGCTGCACACACGTGCGGAACTCTCTGGGCTCCCTGGAACAAAGGTTCCAACTGAAGTCAAGGTATTGTGGTTTGCTACTTGCCTGTAGTTCTTTCCATTTGAGAATCTGGGCTAGTAGAGACATCTGTGACTCTCTATGACTGTGAACTTAAAATTCAGTCTTGTGTGGCACTTTTCACAAGCTATCTTTAAAAACATGAGTGCAAGTTTGCTGTTGTTGGCTGTGGCTTCCAAATGAAAGGGACATATTTTTGAGGTTAAGCTCTTTTCTCAGTTTGTTTGGAAATCTAAGCTTGGCAGTGGGCGCCTGGAGCTCTGGGGACAGGAGGTCAGACCCCCATCTGGGCCTGCCTGGGGCAACTTGGAAATCGCTTGAAAGAGCCACTGACATAAAGAGAAAACCCAAAGTCAGGAGACTCTCTGGGCTTGTTAATCAGGGCGGTGGGAGCGCTGCGCTCCCCACTCCTCCACCTTTCTCCCCAGCCTCCCTCCCAATGCAACGGTCCCTGTCTGAAAACACAACGGCCCCTGCCACAGCTGCTTAGATCTGAAATGACACAATACCAAACCTGGGAGGTAGAGAGGTTTGTCATGGGAGCTCACAGCAAATTGCCCCTTGACAACTATATCACGGAAATGATTACAAAATGCAAATCTGCCCCCTGTTCACTTAGGAGAAACTTGGATTGACCGGGAGACATAAGGTCAACGACTTGTCCCTAAATCACCTGGTGGATAGGAAGGTTTGGGAACATAAGACGAAATTCACCCCAACACCCATGTTTCATCCCCGTGCCTTCTTCTGCTCTTTCCATCGAAATGGAGAAAGATGAAGAAGAATCATTCTAAAGGGGCAATGAGAACCACCCTCTCGTGCTCCCCAAACAAAACTCAACTCAGGGGTGTCATGGCCAGGGGGCCCAGTGACCCCACAGGCAGGGTGACAGCCTGGCCATCGGGACTCTGGGTCCAAAGTCTATCTCCTTGTTACAGATCAGAGGCCCCAGTCCCAGGAGTTCTACCTGTCCCCCACCCCAACACACACACACACTGGGGCCAATCCTGACCCCAAGAAGGAAGGTACAGATTATGGAAAATTCCAGCCCAAGACCCTGGGCCTCAGCCTCATAGTCTGGCCCTGACCCCGTGGTTCCATTTTGTTCCTAGGCTTTGGTCACCATACCTGTGAAGTAGGTCCTGGTTCACCTGGGCCCATGCCCATCACTGGGGGAGCCCAGGGAAGCAGAGCACAGACCCCCGAGGCAGATTCTCGGGCTAGAGCACTGGCTTTGCTCCCTTCAAGCTGTGTGACTGTGGGTAAGTTTTATAACCTGAGTGCCAGCTTCCCACTGGTAAAATGGAGATGACATTTACAGCAAAGCCACATTCCCAACTTCCTACTAGCACGTGTGGGATCCTGGTGCTCGACACAGCAGCACACACTTTGCACCAGCTGGATGGACAGCAGCTGCCATATGACAGCCGTGGAGAGGGTCACGGGTGGTTCTGACACACGACCAGGGCTGAGAGTTGATGCTACAGACAGTTCAACACAATTCAGCTCTGCCCCATAAATTATTTAACCCGCAGCCTCGGGAGCCAGGCTGCTCCGTGCATAAGCTGCCTCGGCCCCTTACCAGAAGCTGTGTAACCTGGGGCCAAGGGTTTAACCTCTCTGGGCCTCAATTTCCCTACCATTGACAAAGAGCTAATCATGGCCCTTCCCTCATGGGACTGTATAACGATTAAGGAGTAAATACATGTAAAGCACTTTAAAAAGTGTCTCACATAGACAGGCACATAAAAAATATTAACTCCTCCTAATTATTTCACATCAGTGGTTCTTCATCTTTGCAATTCATAGGAAGCTGTGGTGCTTCTCCAAAAGCATGCACGTCCCTCAAGGTCTGCCCATAATTTCTGGAGAGTCCCGGGATACTTGCCTTGCTCTAACAAGTGACCCCCCCCCCAAAAGCAGGCCCGCTCAGGAGATGACCTCTTTCCCTTTCCCTGCCTCCCCATGTCCAGGCACACTCTCATCTCTTCCAGTCTCAGACCCTGTCTTCTAAGGCTTCTCCCTCCTCCCCTGTCCCAGGTTTCCCCCAGGCTAGTCACAGACCTCCCTGCCTGTCCCAGCCCCTCCCCACAGCATACGACAGATCCACAAATCCCCTCGTCCTGTTTGGCACGGCTGCCCTCTCACCCTCTCCCAGTCTCCCTGACCCCACAATTCTAATCGGTGCTCGGCTGAAGCTTGGAGATTTAGAGCACAGGCTGAGGTTATGAAACCCCACCGGAAGGTGCCTCATACACGGAGAGGTAAACTCTTCGCTGAGGCTTAATTACGCACAGATGTTGTGATGGGGTGCCCGTGTGCAAAGGCAATCTATCTCCAGTTTTAAGAGCTGAACTGGGTTCACGGTGCAAAATTTGCTTCCCACTTGTTATGTGTTTAGGCAAAATTAATTACTCAGGAGCCTTAGTCACACCATTGTCTTAGGAACAGTGTGTGGGTTTTAGAAGCGGCAGGTCAAATTGTTACATTAATTATTTACCCATTTGGCATCCTCATTTCTGAAATGTGTGTTATTATTATTACATGTCTTGGTCTGGCAGATGCTAGTTGGCCCCAGCCGGAGGATGATTTGCTGTTTCCATGGGAACGGTGAAGGAGATGGTTCTGTTTGGTTCATAGTTCTGGTGCTGAGGAGCACCCCTGATGCTAAGAGGCAACAAAATGTCCTTAGGCGAGCACCAGAGATGAAATCAGAAAATCTGGACGGCAGCCCTAGCTGCTCTCCTCTAAGACCATCCCCTGTAAGACGGGGTGCTGGCTATGGGAAGGAGCCGATGTCGTGGTACCCGTGTAGTGTCCGGGGAAGCAGAGGAAACATTTGGTCAATACCACTTGCCCCTTTGAGCTCCTCACCCTGAGCAGAAGGGAGGGCTTGCTCTTGGGCATGCACAGAAATGCAGCCAAGTCTCTGTCATCGGCTGTACCTCTGTGCATGGCAGATGTCTGCACTGTGGCAGCACAGTGTGTCTGTACCCCACTACATGGGACCTTTTCTCAGTAGCCAACCGTCTCTTACTCAGCCAGGACCCCCAGCCCCCAAAACAACAAGCTCAGGAAATGCTCAGGAAATGTGGGATAAAGTAATGGAAGACATGGGCAAGGCAAACAGAACCAAACATAGTTTAGAACCCACAGCTCCAGGCTAATGAGTTGGTATGATACCCTGTGTGAGAGGGCCATGTGTTTACTGAATTGGTGGCTTGAACTTCAAGGCTGGGGCAGTGTCACTAGGTCTAGTCTGCCCATCGGGACTTATAGGTGCAAGCAGGTCTGTACATGCACATCTGTGAAGGCCAGCTGAGGCAAAGGCAGTCGAACATTATCCTGGGGACCAGACAGACCTGACTCTCAGCTCACTCAGAGGGTCAAACTCAGCCAGTGGCTCCATCAGTGTGAAGACAGGACACCGATCCACAGCTGTGGCTTGTCTGCCATGATCTGAGCTTTCGGAGTCTCAGGTGCCTAGGGTAGGCACACTCTCAGTCTCCCCATTTCTGTTAATAAATCTGGATTAGCCGAAGTAGAAACACTACCTCCATTTCTTCTGATGTCTTCAGAAGCCACATGAACACTTCAGTCAAGAGCAAGAGACCTCTGAGTTCAAGGTACTGAGACCGCCCCCCCTCCCTCCAAGAACAGCGCCACCTATTTGCTCTGAAACGAGCACCTGGAGCTTCTAGCGGGTCTATGACTTCCTCTCCCACACGCTCCAGGCTTCCTGTGAAGAGAGAAGGGCTGATCTCTTCAGACTTGAAAGCCAAGCTCTCTATGCAGAGGGTACCAGAGGAGCCCAACTCCTATATCATGAAGAGAAACCCCCAGGGTAAAAGGGCCCAAGACCCTCGAAGGACCACGTATGTTGGAAGAAGAGTGGTGTGCATCTATCTAGGGAGAAGCCTAGGGAGCCCACGGGGAACGTCAGGCCAACCTCAAAGACCCGTTCCAGAGCCAGGTCCTCGGCAGAGCCTGCCCTGCCCTAAAGGACCACGCGAGTCCCTTCTCCTGAATGGAGGACCTCTTGCAAAGCTGGTACTTTGTATCATCTGATGTTGTTTCCCACAGAGTCTTCTACATCAGACAGGCAGTTCTTCTCTAACACTCAAAAACACAAACTTTTTAAATGTGATTGATATACTGCAGGGGGGGGCACTTTGATCGTAATGCAAATCTTGCACTGGCTTATGTGAGCCATCCTCCCCAGGAAATACCCCGTGAACACAGGAAACGGCTTCCCTCGGGAGGGCTTGACCCGGGCATACACAAAACACACACACCCCAACGTCGCGACAGGCACCATGAGTCCCGCCCACGCACATCTGGGTTACAACTTTCCGCCATGCCCAGATGACCGGCCTCCCACCACCGCACACTAACGCACAAGCAGCAACTCCAACCGCGCTCACTTTCACAAACAGCTGTCAGGATGGGGCGCTATGTGCTCGGTGGTCTTACGTACTTCTTAGCCATGTAACGTGCATAAAACTACGCTGTTTCTAGTAGGCTCCCACCTTCTTTTATTTTCTGTGTCACTGGTGACATTGTTTTAGATTTGCATTTTCTCTTTTGTGAGTTGTCTATTTTGTTTTCTCCTGAAGTATAACGAACAGTGCTACAATTTGTACAGGCGGATGATTCAACAGTTCTACACATCACTCGGTGCTCATCCCAGTGACTGTACTCTTTACCCCATTGTCTATTTCACCATCCCTCCATGCACCTCCCCTCTGGCAGCCACCAGTTTGTTCTCTGTATTTAAGTCCACTTTTTTGTCTTTTTTGGTTTGTTCATCTGTTTTGTTTCTTACATTCCATATGCGAGTGAGATCATGAGGCATTGGTCTTTCTCGGTCTGACTTATCTCACTTAGCACTATGTGCTCTAGTCCATCCATGTGGTCGCCGATGGCAAGATCTCGTTCTTTTTCACAGCTGAGTAATAGTCCATTGTGTACACACCGCATCCTCTTTGCCCATTCATCTGTGGATGGGCCCTTGGGTTGCTTCCCGATCTTGGATGTTGGAAATAATGCGGTAATAGACACAGGGTTGCCTCTATCTGGATCACATGTTCTGTTTTCAGTTTTTTTGAGGAACCTGCACGCCATCTCCCACAGTGGCTGCACCAATGTGCATTCCCACCAAATGTGCAGGAGGGTTCCTGTTTCTCCACATCCTCCCCAACACTTGTTACTTCCTGTCTTTTTAATTCTAGCCATTCCTACAGGTGTGAGGTGATATCTCACTGTGGTGTTGGTTTGCGTTCCCCTGAAAATGAGTGATGGTGAGCATCTTGTCATGTGTCCACTGGCACCGTTGTAAGCCCAGCCCTATTTTCCCCATAAGCTCTGTGGTTTCTGTTGTGTGAGTCTGCACACTATGGAGGTTTCTAGGAACACATACATTGCATTACAACAGAACTGACTGTATATTAAATGAGGTATTATACGTATAGTGTTGGGAACAGTGCCAGAGCACAGTAGCAACCATCGTCATCAATGTCCTCATCCCAGGCTTCACGGAGGCAGAGACTACAGCTTACAGGCCCTTGGGTAGCACTCAGTGTCTTAGAATTACAGATCATTCAATAAACATGTTTGGCTGATAGGTCAACAATCACATTTGGTATATCTTTGTAACATTGTCCTCAAGAGCTTTGATGTGCAACACTAGGGACAAATCATTCAGGCTCGGAAAGAAGCCTCGGGAAGGAGGCGTCCCCACTCATGTCCTACAAGGGAGGGATGCTCAGGGCAGGGACCAGCACTCTCTCACCACACCACCATGCCCCCTGTTGCCCTGCCCCTCCTACCTTTAAGAAGTCAAAGTCTTTGAGCATTTGGGCCACTTTCTCGGCATTCCTCCCTTCATTGAGGAAATCCAGCTCCAAAGGCAGATTCTTCTTGGCTTCATCCACCAGCCACATGAACTCAAACTCTGGAAACAGCTGCTTCACAGCCAGGACAAGCACCTGAAATCCACCGAGGAGCCCATCAGTCAGACCACGGCACCCATCACGGGAGCTCCATTCCCTGCCCTCCTGCCTGGGTCTGGGCACTGGCAAGTCCCCAGGCCTCCCCTGAAGCGAGACCTCCCTGGTGGTATACCCTTATCCCCATTTTACAGATGAAGAAGTTGAGGCTCTGAGAGGTTAGAGGATTGTCCCAAATTTTCCCAGCAAGGAAGCACAGAGCCAGAATTCCACTTGAGTCCACCCAGCCCCCAAACCCTTGCTCTAGTTCACTTGCTCCTCCCAGACGTGCTCCTCTTAGTCCTGTTTACAGAGAGCGGGGAGGGCGCTGCAACTGTATGAAGCTCTGTTCATTTCTTAAGCTGAGGGGTTGATACCCGAGCATTTAAAATGTTATTTTCTATACTTTCCGCATGTCTAAAATATTACTTGATAAAAAGTACATTGGAATAACAAAACAAGGTTGGATAAGACAGCAAGAGTAAGAGATAAGGGATGTGACCACTGGGATAAAAAGCTCAGGTTTCTGGTAATTTGGCCACATTGGGAATTCTTGAATGAGGACACGATGGGAACCGGGATTTTAGTAGACCTATAGGGCGTTTATCAGTTTAATGATGTGAAATTAAATATTCCTGGCAGAGAACAGGACCCTGGTGACATCTGCAGAACTTGCCATGACCCCCACCATGGGCTGGGACTCAGTTCTGAGGCCGCCCCACCTAGGGCTCTGGATTCAAGAGAATCTGGGAAGTTCGTGGGTGATGGCTCTGCAGTAGGTGAGGAGGGTGAGACCAGGAACACAGGAGGTGCATTTCCCCAAGAGAAACACAGAAAGGAACTCTCCTGTTCTACTATAAACCCTCCTCTCAGTGTTCAAAGTGACCATTCCTCCCAGAAATTCTTGATATGGATTATAGTCCCAGTTCTCTGAGAAAACCCATCTCCACCCTCTGGTTATGCCAGACAACGATGAGCCCATGGGTTCACTGGTACCAAAAGACCTTCCCCACCTTTTGTGGACTGAATGTTTGTATCCCCCACCCCCAAATTTAGTGCCAAAGCCCTAATCCCTAGGGTGATGGTGTTTGGAGATGGGGCCTTGGGGAGGTATGTAGGTTTCAGTGAGGTCAGGAAGGTGGGGCACCTATGATGGTTTTAGTGTGCTGGTAAGAAGAGGAAGAGACAGAGTGCTCTCTTCCATGTAGGAGCACAGAGAGAAGATAGCTCTCTTCAAACCAGAAAGAAAGTCCTCACCAGGAACCAAATTGGCCAGCATCTTGTCCTTAGACTTCCAGCCTCCAGAACTACAAAAAATAAACATCTGTTTTTGTTTTTGTTTTAAGAGAGAGTGTGAGAGCAAGTGTGAGGGAGGGTCAGGGGAGGGGCAGAGAGAGAGGAAAGCTCTTAAGCAGGCTCCACACGCAGCACAGACCCCAAGGCAGGGCTTGATCTCACAACCCTGGGATCATGACATGAGTGACATGAGCCGAAATCAAGAGTCCTACCCTTAACCAACTGAGACACCCAGGTATCCCTAAAAGTCTGTCATTTAAGCCACCCAATCTGTGGCATTTTGTTACAGCAGCCTGAACAGATGGAGATGCCATCCCATCTACCCAGAAGGACTCACTGAGCCCTAGCTACGAGCCTGGTCTTAGGCTTCCTTTTGCCCTGGTCTGTATGGTGCCTACCACTGGGATAGGCACACGCAATATAAAAGAAAGAGATCTAAAGCAAGGCCATTTACTACAAGGCATTTATGGCTTTGTTTTTAAACCCTATGTCCTAGACGATGTACCAGATGCCATTCTAAAGGAATCATCACACAAGGTTATTATACTCCATTCCTATCAAAACCCTTTTTAATTACATTCAGCTGCAGTCTAATTTCTTTTAAGTCTTGTCTAGTCTTTCATGGGCTAGACCTGTGACCTTATGATAATTGATTTAGTTTATGTTTTGTTTCTATTTGAGTTATACAAGCTGGGCGGGAAGGGCGGCAACAGCAAGGCCCGGACAGCACTCGTCAGGCCCCGGCAGTGGGGACGAGCAGCCCCCAAGGCATCGTGGCTCATCACCCTGCCCTCAGATGGCCCTTAGCCGCCACCAAAGGGGAGGCAGGGCTGGTGCATGGGAGACAGACTCCCTCGCCTGGGGCCAGGGCCAAGTGCACACCCAACATCTGAAAACAATTGAATTCTACCCTCTGGACTCCGGGTTCAGGGAGAAACCTCTTGGACATTTTGCTCCAGCCTTAATTCCAGAGGTTCTCACCCAGGAGGGGCAAGGGAGGGAACCACAGTGAGGCTTATCATTTGTTCAGTCGAGAATTCCTGATTCCCTTCCAGGTGACTACCCAGGGCCAGATGTGGGGAGACACAGGGAGCCCCTTGTACCCTAGTCGGATCTCTACCTGGGGATGAGGCTTCTAACCAAATGATATATTCTCATCGTTTAATATATCTTCACTATTATTTGTGAAATTTTAAACTATCATTGATATCCAAACAGCATTGAAAGTCACTTTCCAGATTTTTCTGTTCCTAATCAATTATATAATAAGTCATTACTAGGACTATTGGTTATTATGAATACCTAATGCCATTAACCATAAAAGCAGTCAAAGATTTTATTGATTATATGCTAATAACTAATTCATAAACTATTTCATTACCCAAAAAACTTTACAGTACTCACAAAGCTGGTGTCTAAAGCACCGTGTGGGTAGTGGCCGAGTCACTCCTTTCGTTAACAGAGAATGAGAGGTTCTGGCGGAATGGACATCAGTGGTTCACCACTTTCTAAAAGGATACCCTCCCTTTTTACAGGAAGTCTACCAATTTGAAAATCTGATGCCAGCTATGAAGCCCAGAAAATGTACATAGTCACATCATCTTGTACATAATTCTGGGGGGTTACCAACCCCTTGAACTTCAAGGCAGGGAGGGAAATGGGCCAGGTTCAGAGTCATCTGGTCCAAATCTAAAATGGTTTGGGCTGCTGCCGTTAGAGACTTTTCTTGGTTGAGGAGAATAAAACAAAACCATTTCACCTTCTGTTTTCATCGAATTCTCTTGCTAAGAGCCTGCCCTAAGTAGATTCATTTAAGTTATTCCTTTTTGACAACAGCTGCAGCCAACTAAAATAAAACAGGTGTTGTTATCTATTTGGCTTTTTGATTTTTCTCCCAAAATGTATCTTCTCCATAAAATTCTTACAACAGCCAATGTTCCCACCAGCGCCTAGCACGTATTCTATACTCAGCAGATGTTTACTGAATATTCACGTGAGTCACTGAGTGAATAAATGAAGGGAAAAAAATGAACATTTCGGGGCGCCTAGGTGGCTCCGTGGGTTAAAGCCTCTGCCTTTGGCTCAGGTCATGATCCCAGGATTCTGGGATCGAGCCCCGCATCGGGCTCTCTGCTGGGCGGGGAGCCTGCTTCCTCCTCTCTCTCTCTCTCTTCCTGCCTCTCTGCCTACTTGTGATCTCTATCTGTCAAATAAATAAATAAAATCTTTAAAAAAAAAAAAAAATGAACATTTCAGAGGGCCGGTCTTCTCCCCAGAGATGATTATATGTTCACATGTGTCTTGCTCAAATAAATTCAGTTTTTCTATTTCTGAGGTTGTGGCGGGGAAAGGGATTACCTCTGAATTTTCGGTGACCACAGTTTTGGAATGCCTGAGAATCTTCTACGCGATTTGAAATCTTGTAAGTCAATCAAGGCATGTTCAAAAATTAGCATTTCCGGGGCACCTGGGTGGCTCAGTGGGTTAAAGCCTCTGCCTTCAGCTCAGGTCATCATCCCAGGGTGTTGGGATTGAGCCCCACAACAGGCTCTCTGCTCAGCAGGGAGTCTGCTTCTCCCTCTCTCTCTGCCTGCCTCTCTGCCAACTTGTGATCTTTGTCTATCAAATAAGTAAATAAAATCTTAAAAAAAAAAATTTAACATTTCCTTCAAGGTGGAATAATGAAAATATTTTCCTATGGGGTGATTGGCTCACAGGAAGAAAAATCAATTTTTTGAAACCAGAAACTAGTTCCGGGAGGTTAAAGCATTTCTCAAGGTCACAGAGCTTGTCATTTCAAATGCGGGACTTGGACCCAGGGTTTTCTCACTCCTTTCTTTGCGCAGCCTGACTCATGCAACGCAATACAGGATAATACAATAGGAAGTGTGAGATAAGGCGTAAAAAGAACCATTGTGGACTGTTAAAACTGCAACCAAAATAAGACTGACTGTTATTAAGTTATTACATCTTATAAAAGAAATAACGCTCTATGGGAAAACAGCACGCTAAACAGAATGCCTGCACGGACCCAAACTGGTAAAAATGGATGTTCGACAAGGATCGAAAGTCAATTCGGAGTGATGTAAACAACTTGCCATTCACGGGGCTTATCTTTATTCCGATAAGTTATTAAAGTGCACACTTTTTACGAAACAGAATTATAGGGTGAAGAGAAGCTTCCATGGGATAGTCTACATCTCTGTTATTTTTTAATGTATTGTAGAAAATAAAATCAGCTGTTGGCGTCTGTGCCAACACAAACATTACTAGCCACCCACTGTTCAATCAACACATTCACAAAAGAAACAAGATGACAGACAAGCATGAGCTAAAAATGTTGTTCAAAAAAAGTCAACGAAATGACCGTGACAGGCCTTTATTTTTAGAGACCCTTGGCATGGGCCAGATGATATCAAACAGTGGATCGGATTTGGTACTCAGACTGGAGTCCCACCCCCCGTGTGGGAGAGTGTCTTGGGGACAGGTGTCATGTGGAGAGCAGGAGTTAGATGCTCTAGGGAGTAACAGAGCAAGGGGGGGGTTCATCATCAATTCCAGAAGCTTACGAGGGAACAGGGAGTGATACAGGGTGGTGCTACTGGGACCGGGGGATTATGGCTTTACCACCAGCGCGCAGGCCCTCTGAGTCTGCCATGCCCTCTGACAGTGAGAATGGCAGTGAGATCCAGCCCGCTGAGCTC